GGTTCCCCTATACTTGTGAGCACTGTGGTAGCTGGGCTCGAACATCAGTTCGAAACGTTGTGTAATAAACTAATTAAATAACTAGCCAGTTGGGTTGACTATAAGTTTCCCGTCTCAATCTTTAATCGTTACTGGTGACAATAAGCAGACTCTCCTTTCGTTAATCGGAAAAGCTAATCATCGGAAACGCTGTTCAATTGGTTTATCCAATGGAAATGTTTCTCAGTGTAAAGAGGGGGGAGGGAAGGGGGTGATATAAAAATGATCCGAGTGGAAAAGCGACAGGAAAAATGAGATACCGTCGCTATCAATCAATTGAATAAAAGGGGGGTATAAATGGGATCATTAATCTAATCTAATCTAATCTAATAGAGCCTATGCACGTGAATCCGCGAGAGCCGGTGCAGAATCTGAAATCGCCAGCGCTCTTGACAACCTCTGTTCGCTTAAACGTTTGCGTTTTTAGCAACACATCAGTTCTTTTTATATATACGTACACATCTCCATCGTTCCTTTCTATAGTGACTACAAAAAACCTTTTACATTTGCCTCTTTTCAGCGATCAATTTATTCAAACTGATTTCGTCCTGTTTATTTAACTTTGACAATTTTAAAGCTCTTTATCTTTTTGACACACACTGTGAAAAATGTCCGATTAAATATAATCGGATAATCCAATTACATGATAACAAACGGATATATCCGATTAAATTGTATATCCGATGAAAAATATGAGCGGTTTTTCAATGAAATTTCAACGTTAACTGCAATCTCATCGGATAAATTTCCTCGGATGTATCCATAATTTAATCGGAAAAATTAACCATCGGAAACATTATTTAATGGGTTTATCCGATGAAAAATTTTCTCAGTGCACTGTTTTCACTATTTATTTTACTTTAACTGTTATACAAACCTCCGGTACCAAATGAAGTATCTGACTGTTTATATGCACTATAATCGTGCACTGAGAAATTTCCATCGGATAAACCAATTAAACAGTGTTTCCGATCATATTTTTCATCGGATATACAATTTAATTGGATATATCCGTTTGCCATTATGTAATTGAATTATCCGATTATATTTAATCGGACATTTTTCTCAGTGTGGGCACGATGGGATGTGATCACACAACTGACCAGCCCGTCTATTACATATACTTTTCGGACATGCGTACTTTATAAGTGATTATCCGCATTATCCATATTCTCGTGTATAATTGCGCTATAACGACTTAGATAATGACTCGTCGTTTTTTCAAATTTCAGACCAATGCACATACTTGGCGGCGAGTGTGGTGCAGAGAAATGTGCGCTGCTTAGTTAACAAACGAAAGATTCGAGTTCAAATCCACGAATACCACTGGTTTTCTCGGAATTTTTCCAAGGGAAGTGGCAACCACCGAGAGTATCCTGCCCCACGCCTTTCAGGGGTACAGCCCTCCAGATGGAAGGTTTCCTTCGGCAAGGTTAGTAGCCTATCGAATGTGAAGTAAATGCTCAAAGCATTTAGTTAATAAATAAAGCATAATATTAAGCCAACGGCACACGATACTATTTTTCTTACTGGATTGCTTACGAGAACCAATAAGGATTTAGAGTTTTTGATCAGGTGACTTAAAGCTGAATCCTGATTGGCTCTCGTAAGTAATCTAGTAGGAAAAATAGTGTCGTGTGCCGTTGGCTTTATATTACTAGACTGCGCCATCCCTATGGACGCGCTGTCCTAAACATTAGAGTGCAGACATATCAAAAGAGTCATGATCCCTCTCTTTCTCTCTATCGCTCAGCGTTAAGAGTGGGGGGGGGGGGGGAAACGAACAAGTTAGACAGAGACACATTGACTCAGTTCAGCTCTTCCTCTCTTTCTATATCTTACGACCGACGCCTCCTACGGATGGCGCAGTCTAGTATATAAGTCTTAGGCTCAAAGTACCAGTTTGTTCTGGTACAGAACTGGTACAGAACGAACTGGATCAAACAGGCTTTTAAGCCTAACGCGCGGAAGAAGAAGAAGAGTGTATACTGTTACGCCCGCGCGGTGTTGCGTCGGTCACCCGATGGATACGCGCCAGCTGTGGGCTGAAGTTGCGGCGCATGGAGACGCCGGTCGCTAAGGACCGATGAGATGATGTTTATGATTGATTAATTAGAATTGTCCGGAGTTTTTGAGAAAGCAGACGTGTGATTAACTGTCAATAAAGATTCCTTGTTCCTTTTAATCCTCTCTCTCTCATTTACCCGTGGCGCGGTGCGCGAGTAAGAAAGGCGACGTACCGACACGAACGCGAGTGCGCGGGGTGTTGTGCCGACAGCGGAACATTGCGCCGAGCGGACGTCACAATACTTAATATTGTATTGCTGAAGAGGGTTCACTTTCGTAGACCGACGCGTTCAATTTGTATCACGATGTCACCAATCTTATAACATATTTTACACTAGAACTTATATGTTTTATCACCCTCGTTCAGGTGACGGCTCACATTGCCCCTATTATCCTCCTACTATTTTAACTATCAACATCAATTTTAATTTTATCTTTGTCTTATCGGAGAGCCTTATTCAAATTTATTTTAGCAAAAAGTTTCGCAAACGGACTTGAATCTCGATTTACGATCGCGTTCCGTGTCCGGCGAGATTCGTCACGGGAGGGGGAGGGTGACTCGTCGTTTTATAGCTGTGCGTGAATGAAACGGATCGGAATCCCGCCGGGATCGTCCCGGTCGCCGTCCGAGCTCATCGGGATTCGAGCTCTTCGACGTCCGTCGCACACGGCTTACGTGTGTCGCAGCCACCGAATTTTTCATGCGAAAGCGGTCGCGCGGCACGATCGGGCAATGCCGTCGCGCAATTCACCAGGTCGACCATGAATCGGCGACGCGGCCTTGAACCATTCTGGTGCTTACAAACGTACGCTGTACGCGCATTGAACGGCGCATTGAATTTCACTCGCAGCACCGGAAAGGACGAGCAACGGCTCTCGCGAACGCACCAATCTCCTCTGCACACTCTCCCCCGGAGGCCGCCTGTCTCCCCGGACTCGATACGAATCCGCCGAGGCGAAGGAACGATGGTTCAAGTGACGTTTACTCGAAAACCGTTCGAGAAAATTGGAAAGTAATGATTTCTAGTAATTAAAAATTCCACGTGCTCGAGGCTGTCGATCGGTCCACTTGCTAGACGTCAGCTGCCAAAGTAAGAAAGGACACGAACGGTTCGATTTTCTTCTTCAAGGGAATCGGGTGGGGGGGGGGGGAGAGAAATTACTCGTCGAGTAAAAGTTAGCATCTCAACTCAATGGACCGCGATGATGTTCGCGACTGGCCGACAGCGCTCGCGTTGAAATCTCGATGGGATTTCCGGCGTCTTGGAATTCGTCTGCGGTAACTCCGTCAGGTTGAAAATTGCAAATGCACGAAGGTTAATAATGGATATTTCGCATAAAGAAAGTGTCAATATCGATTTCTACGCTTCGGGACGGAGAGCGATATTAATTACGTTACCGAACGGCCGCGCCCGTACGGCCGCTCATTAAAGATCGCGTTCGGTAACCGTTCAATTTCGCTGGGAAGAAAAACCGCGATATAATTTCGCGCGCTAATCTACATTCGTCAATGGCGCTCTGTTCCGTCATCGGACGCGGACGATATCGATAACTTATAAAATAATTCGCAGAACTTTTCTCCATCACTGATATTCGCTGTAGCAACGATTAGATAAGCGATTTCATATCCACTTCCTCTCGGAACCGCATTCGCACGACAATATTTCGGCTCCGATGG